TGGCTATTATACGATTCTCAAAGCCAAGGTGCAGCTACAAAAGTCTGATAGTACTCTTGATAGAGAACAACTGCTGTCTTCAGAGGAATGGTTAGAGGCAGAACAAAAGCTAACTAAGTATCGCTATGAGTATCACCAATGTCGTGACTTCTACGATACTACAATTTCCTCATCAATGAGATATCCCTAAGATACAGCCTATCACTTATTTGATTTTCAGCAGGTTGTTGAAATTCCCAAACTACCCCAACAGCCTGGACAATAGTATTTCTTCTCCTCTTTTAAGTTATACTTTTTTAGCCTAGTAGACAAAAACTGCAATAATAGCTGCCACTACCATTACCTATATACAGAGGTCCAGCATGGAAAAGGTCAAAATCAAGTTATTTTACTACTAGATACTTATTTGAAGTCATGTGGAAAGCTTAAGCCACATATCTACCTTTGGGCAAATAATTGTGGAGGTTAGAACAAAAACTGTATTGTGCAAGCTCTCCAAAAGGTGTACCAGGCTGAAAAAATGATGTTACATGTAGCTTTGCAATTTTACATGCCAAGACTTGAGTCTTGGCATAACAAATAAAAAAATAGGGTTGGTGATAATGGGTTTTCCATATTGGAAATACAATTATGTAAGAAAATAATACTTATGATATATACAAAGTAGAGTAAAGAAAGATGTATAATATTATACATGATGCCATATTCTATATTACTCTAGTACTTGTATATCAGAAACCCGCCAATGGTTTTTGTATTTATGCTTAATAGATGCTTCAAATTGAGGAGTTCCATATGATATTCCTTGACGATAAGAATCCATAATTCGCTCTGCTCGTTTGACATATTTCCATATAAGTTAATCTGAAACAGAATCTAAGGCCTTTGGAATGGTAGGTCGTAAACTCTTGATGGAATATCAGCAGTTATTTCAAGTATAGTGCTTGGCAGCACCCCATACATACTGAATAAAGTTAATTTCGCAATAGAACTTTGAATAAAACAGGACGTGGTAGCCTGCTGCCTCAATCTCTTCCTGCAAACGGCATTTCTGACTTTTAAAGTCTGGCTGATTTGCAATAATTATATGGGCACAGCATTCTCCACTAAGTAGACAGGTTTTGAGTAGTTTGTCAGTTCCTGGCTTTCTGCATTGTAGACGGAGCCCTCTTCTCCACAGCCCCCACTCTTCCAATACTTTCTTCAACCCCTTTACTGTATCAGAACTGTCTACCATTGGTTGAATTTCATCTATAGCAGAATTGAACCCTGGATGGAGTTTACTTTGTCCTCTACCAGGTCGCAGGCTCATGCTTTTAGCACGTAAAGTATCAGGTGCAAAGGCCAAATGGCTGGTAGCATTATCGAAAAGGAAGAGGACCTGGCATCCTGGAAAAGCTGTTTCAAATATTGGAATACCAACATTTGTAACCTGTAGCACAAGATCTTCACCGACCCACCACTTGTTACCCCCATATTCAATTTTAATGGTTGCTGTGTATGGACTATAGTGGAAGTTTGGCTCATCTGTCATGCCGAAAGTGGGGAGGTCACCAATAGGTATCCAATCAGGTGCCTTCAAATTTCTGCCTTGACTTACAAAATGGGAAACCATTATGCCTTTGCCGCAACTCTTTCGTCTAATTGGTGGTTCACCCTCTTTCATCCACACATATCTTCTACCATCATTTGCATCAAATGTCAATTTGTCATATGTTATCAAAACAATTGGACTTTGGCCAGGAGGCAAATCTTGCGGATAAATCATGACTGGTTTACCATTCGGATCCAATTCCCACTCAACCATCAGCAGCTTTAGGCAGTCGAGAGTTGGTAGAAAGTGGTCTTGTCGATATAAGATAACATCTGGATGTTCGTGTCCATTTTTGTACACTACCTTCTTACACTCTTTATACTTATATCCTAGCTTATTCTGCCATTTAGATGCGATCCGAGTCGAAAGTATATTTTGAATTCCCCTCTGTAAGGCTACTTGCTCAAGAGGAACATGCAGAGGAGATAGAAGGTGACCTTGTCCATCAATATCAGGGGGTAGCCATCGGCCGGTTGACCAATATTGGGTAATGGCATATGCTAACCCAGCAGCTGTGACTGAATCTCCAGCTTCAGCAATATACTCTCTGATTGCAAGCTGTGTTTCTTCCTCGTCCATCCTTAATATAATACTCACTTGCTTCTGCTATTTCTGTAGGATAATTCCTCAACTTTTGAACTACTTATGTTCATCCTGCTGAATTCTTTCAGCCACTCGTCTGCTTCTTTCTACCGTAGCAGTAACAAGGAGTGAATTTCCTTTCGTGGTTTGTTCTATATTGGTTTAAATAAACCCATTCGTTGAAATCTCATAAATTGGAGGACTTGATGGTGACTTTCAAGATCCTTTCCTTTAAGAGAGTACTTCTTGGACTTTAGATATTTTCTTAGATCCTTAATTGCTATAAACACTACTAGTTAGCTCAATTTCCACCTAGTTGATTTAATATTCTCCTAGATTTATAGTATATACTAGACAATAAATAACTTACCTGAGGATAGTATCTGGTACTTAACCTTCTTCTTCTGAATATTGGCAATCCTTGGCCAAACTTCAATTGTATCCTTTATATAGGATTGCAATTGGAGTTCTGACTGAAACCCATGCTCACCCTCTTCTGCCAATATTAATGTAAGCACTATTATACTCTCTTCTTATTCAAGCTTATTTATATCAAATATTGGTAACATACCTTCCAGAATGAAATCCACCTCTTCTCTACTATTTAATGCAGTAGCTATCTCCAATTGCTTTCATCAGCTCCATAGCATTTGTCGAGATGGTGTTTTTTGTACTACTGAACCCGATTCAATTTCTATTCTACTTCTTAGCAATTACTTCTATTAAATTATTGAATTACTTGTACACTATACTTGAGACTGGTTCAATAGCTTCTTCTGATACACTTACTGCTTAGCCCCTGATTGGATCTTCTTCTACAAGTATTGCTTCATCTGGAATCTCACTTGCTGAAGGTATCTTATGGGGTCTACCACCCAAATGGCTAACCTCTCAACTGGTAGCTCTTGCTTTTTTAAAACATGGCATATGTGAAAATAAAAGTTGTTAGATATAGAATTAAAGAAATATGATATACAGTTATTATCAATTTGGTTTATTGTCAAAGATACATATTTTATATATCGTATTATAATCTACTTGTATTATACTATAATACAAAGTTATTGTGATTATGCATCTATGACTACTAGGTTACTGGGTTTCTTAAAAACCCTTGTTAAAATTCAAGGTTTTGCTATAGAACCCTTATTCTAATATGTGTAATTTACTATTACTAAGCAAATTAAGTGTGGTTGTCATAACACCTTTTCTCCTCTTACACCCAAAGTAATTAACTTTTAAATCCTTAAGGGCTTTAAACTTATAAGCTAAATTGAAAAAAAAAAAACCTGTTTAATAATCACCAATAAAAACTCTTTACAAAAAAGATTTTTTTTTGCTCCGTATAAACAACTGGGGGCAAAAACCGACAAAAATTGAAAAACACAAAAAAGCGAGCACACAGTTTTGAAAAGCCATCA